CGCCTCCCAGGGCTTCTGCAGAAGGCAGGCTCCACAGGGCCCAGGCTGGCACCTGACCTGAGGCAGAATCTTGGAGGACGTTCTGGCTTGGGATGGGCCCTGTGTTGGCACTGGCATGGATTTTACAACAGCAGCCATTGTGGGGCTCACTGCTGGTTGACCCAGGTTCTCACTAGCCAGGTGGATCCCAGGAGGCATTGCTTTCCACACACCACCAAGGTCACAGCCAGGTGGGAGAGGGGGCCGAGCCACACAGGTCTCAAACAGTAAGCTTATGAGGTTCCTGGCTTCTCATTAGATGTGAGAGAAAAAGTGGGCTTCAGTCCTTAGCTTGCCAGGCCCCACCAAGCACTGTGCCTGTTTCCTCTCTTGCAGGGTGGGAACTTGATCAGGTTGTAGAGAGTACCAATTGAGGGGTGAGAGAGGCAGGCTCTGTTAATTTGGGGCACAGACTCTACACGTGGATGGTATTTCCACAGCAACATACTTGCTCTTGTTGGGCCCAAAGGTGTATATAAACCTGAGCAGAACTGAAGTGTTGGTGTGGTGGCCTTCCCTATGCACAGGGCATCTCTGGGCACAGGCCCCTCTCCCCAGAGAGTGTCCTGGCCCCTGAGCATCCTCAGGCAGCCCCTAGAAAAGGCTGTACCTTGCACCCAAAGGTGGGTGCTTGTAACCCATACATGGCTCCCAGCTCTGCCTGTGGACCATTCAGGTCTTCTCTCTGCTAGGCCATGGTCATGCCTCCCGGGAGCCCCACACTCAGCACTGTACCCTTTCTTTGTTGTTGTTGCTGGGTTGACATATGGCTTCTTTGGTTTTCACACTTTTCCTTTATTTATTTATTTATTATTAAAAAATATATTTTATTGACTTTTTACAGAGAGGAAGGGAGAGGAATAGAGAGTTAGAAACATCGATGAGAGAGAAACACCCATCAGCTGCCTCCTGCACACTCCCTACTGGGGATGTGCCCACAACCAAGGTACATGCCCTTGACCAGAATTGAACCCGGAATCCTTCAGTCCGCAGGCTGACGCTCTATCCACTGAGCCAAACCGGTTAGGGTGCACTTTTCCTTTTTTTAAAAAATAGATTAGAGAGAGGAAGGGAGGGAGAGATAGAAACATCAATGATGAGAGAGAATCATCGACCGGCTGCCTCCTGCATGCCCCCTTCTGGGGATCAAGCCCACAACCCAAGCATGTGCCCTGGCCTGGGATTGAACCATGACCACCTGGTTCATGGGTCTACGCTCAACCACTGAGCACACCAGCTGGGCCCACTTTTCCTTTTGTCATCTTCTCATCCATTTGTACTGGTTCTAAAACTGAGACTTGGAGAGCAGGGACATGGGGGGCAATTCACCACCACCTGAGGGATTTGAGCTGAGAGCTCCAAAATGGGGCGGGTAGGGAGATAGGTAGCCTGGTAGTTCCTCCAAGGCCTCCCCAGTACCTGAGCACAGGATGGCCGGGTAAACCTGGCCCTGAGTGGGGGACCAGAGGAGCTGTGTGGAGGGCTTGGGAAAACTGAGTCCTGGATTCCCAGTATAGGTGAGGAGGTGACACTCCCGGGGGGCCTGGGCGAGGATGCAGGGGTTCCTCCCTCAGGGAGCCGCTGCCTTCAGTGCCTGCACTGAGGGGGCCGTCTGGCCCCGTGACCTCAGCCCGGAAGGTGTGGTTTTAGGCTTCAGCTCCCCTCAGTGCACCAGCAGAGCGTCTCACGTCAGGCAGTCAACTCACTTCCCTCTCTGGCAGCCACCGGATTTGTGAACGTCCTATTTTCCCATAATCAAAAGAAGTGAAACTGCCCCGTGAAATAGAGTGGAACGCCCAGAACACCTAGGGCAGACAGGGTCTTTTCCTTATGAAGTCGTTAGCAGAAGCTGGAGGGCAGCCCTTGCCTCTCCTGTGAGGTCCCCTAGAGGATGGTGCACCACAGAGGACAGCCAGCAGGTCCAGGTGGTGACAGTCCCAGGTCAGCCCCACACACCAGCCCTGCTTCCTTCTTGCCCTCCCCCTTCCTGTCCCCCTTCCTGTCCCCTCTCCCCCCTGTACTGATCTCCTTTCTTACCTGTGCTGTTTCCTTCTTAGACTCCCTGGCTTTAGCCAAGTTGAGAACCACCGACTTCCCTCTAACTCTTGGTGGGGAGGCGGGGAGGATACGAACAGGCTAGGCCTGGCCTGGAGTTCTGCTCAGTCCCCATGGAGGGACGACACATGTGGAGAAAGTAATAGTGGTCAGAGGTGAAGGCAGTGTGGTTGCCCAGTGCTTACTGTTTGCCAGGCACACTCCTGAACACACATGCAGGAGGCCACAGAAGCCGGCACATGGTCCCGTGAGTGCCTATCTGTCACCCCATTTCACAGAGAAAAACAGGCCCAGTGAAGCCGCTTACCCATGACCCAGGACCACATAGGTAGAAGGTGGCGGGCCTGCCCTTGCATGTCAGTGACCTGGCTGCTCCCTTAGACTGAGCCGCTGGGTGTCCTCAAGAGCCCTGGGAGGGGTTTTCATGTGTGAGCAGAAACTGCTGCCAGCCATTAGGAAATGGAGTGAGTGTGTCTGTGTATGTGCCACGTGTGCATGAGTGTCTGATTGTTTTTTTTTTTCATGGCTAATCCTCACCCGAGGATATTTTTTCAATTAATTTTTAGAGAGAGAGTTGGGGGGGGAGAAACATTGATGTGAGGGAGACACATCCATTGGTTGACTCCTGCATGTGCCCCAACCAGGGCCAGGGATCGAACCTGTGACCCTTTGGCACACAGGGAATGCTCTAACCACTGAGAAACATAGGCCAGGGCAAGTATCTGTGATTAAGCATGAGAAATTAAACATGTCACACACTGCTGTTCAGGGTTGTGTGTGATTAAGCATGCCAGAGTGCTGTTCAGATGTGTGTGCCCACACATGTCCATGAGAAATGACTTCCAGGCAGCATAACATTTGGCCGGAGCAAGGCAAGCCTCTCCTTCCCTCAGCTCTTGTCAAACATGACACTTACCGTGTTCGTTCAGCCATGGGACCTCCTCTCCACCACAGACCTGCTCGCCTCTCAGCAGCCTCCCCCCGCCCGCTCCGGAGCATGCATTTTGAGGGATTTGCCATACCCAGTGACCCCTGAGATTCCTACTGAGAGAAGGAGCGTGTGGATTGGAGTGTGTGCTCGGTCACCGTCTTGCCATTGGCTGCTGTGTTCAGCATCTCTGGGAAGCTATCATGCACATCCTGACCCCGTGATCTCCCACCGGCAGTGGACGTGGCATGGCTGGAAGGCATCCTGGGGCCTCCTCCTCTGAGACTCATTCTTTTACCTTCTGTTTCCCAGCTGGTCAGCGAGAAGGTCGGAGGGGCTGAAGGGACCAAGCTTGACGATGACTTCAAAGAGATGGAGAAGGTAATGGGAAGAGTGGTGTGCCCTGTCTAATGTCTGGCACCATTTACCGAGTCCCTCATGAGGCCCAGCTCTGACATCTAGGATGAGGCTTATCAGGATGGACTAGAGGCATCAGGTGTCCCTTAGCCCTGGGCAGGCAACAGTGGGGACATGGTGTAATGAACAACAGGGAGGCCAGGCAGCCCTCACAGCGGCATGTAGTTCTTATGTGGGCTCCGAGGCAGGCAGGGATTGGGGAGCAGGGCAAGGGTTATTCAGGGGCCCCTGGTTTGGCCTTGGGTGCCCCCGTGATTTTGAAACCATGCATGTTGCCTCTTTACAGAAGGTGGATGTTACCAGCAAGGCTGTGGTGGAAGTGCTGGCCAGAACCATCGAATACCTGCAGCCCAACCCAGGTAGGGGCACCAGCTAGCTGCAAGTTCTTCCGGTTACCACAGCATGAAGAAGGAACGTAAGGGATCACAAAACTAAAATGTCATGGGGTAGGTGGGTTTTAGGCATGGCTGGGTCCAGGTACCTAAAGGATGTCCTTGGGGTCATGTATTTCCTTTCTGCTTCATCTGGCAGCTCTCATTCCTTGTGTCAATCCCAACCTTAAATCACCTTTGCAGCTAACAGTCCCAGCAGAAAAGAGCACCTCCCAACCGACACCCCAACCGATTCATTGGGTCAATTTGAATTGGGTGTTCATCCTAGTTTGTCAGGCACCAGCCACATGCTCGCCTTTGGAACATGAAGTGGGGTCTCTTAGGATGAGAGGGAAGTGGGGACCTTCCCTCAAGGAATATCCAAATGCTAGTTCCTATAGCAGGAGGCAGTGGGCGTGGAACAGGCACCAAACCCAGGCGTCTCCATTCAAGGCCTGTGCCAGGGACAGACCCAAGTGGGCAGAGGTAGCAGCATATCCATGTCTGGGATGCCCGTACCTGCCACCACCACTTCTTTAGCGTGTGCTGCTCCACCACGCCACTGAGGGGAGGGTCCCGGTCAGAGCCATGCTCCAGGATGAGGAGGCCCTGGGGCTCCTGAAGAGCCATCGCCTCTCCTGCCCACGGCCCATGATCCTCTGTGGCCAAGAAGAACAGAGTAGGGCAGGTCTGCTCAGGGGCCTCTCAACAGGCATGGCAACCAAGTGCCTTGGGCCAAGGGAGTACTTTAGAAATACGTGGGCCTTGGGGAAGAGCAGGAGCACCCAGGGCAGCGGCAGTGCTAGCTGAGCACAGGCCTGGTGGCTCCTGGAGAAACCACCCACATGCCCACCCGGCCCATTCTTTTCCAGCCTCACGGGCCAAGCTGACGATGCTCAACACGGTATCCAAGATCCGTGGGCAGGTGAAGAATCCTGGCTACCCGCAGTCGGAGGGCCTGCTGGGCGAGTGCATGATTCGTCACGGGAAGGAGCTGGGTGGCGAGTCCAACTTCGGTGAGGGCCGCCGTGACGGCCTCAGCAGGTTGCATGGGCAGGCGGCCAGGCTGAGGGAGGGAAGGCCAGAGCCTCCCCACACCGGTGAGCAGGAGGGCACTTCCCTCCCATAGCTCCAGAATCTTCTCTAGTGCTGGCTGGTCCCATGGGGGGAGGGAGAATCCCAGCACCACCTAAAGTGTTAAGGCTGAGGGAAGGCCTCCCCCTCACGCCACCGCGTTCAGGGCAAATCTGGTCCCTTCTGAGAGTGTAGAGGGGCAGGTTGCTTGACACTTGTCATTACCAGCCCCAGGCCACTGGCTCAGGAACAGACGTGATGGTCTGTTGCTCTGATTTCTGGTCAGTCCTTGGCTGTGGGGTCATTTTAAAAGTTGGGGGTGTCTTGGCCCCACAGGCATCCTGTGATGGCTTCTTCCCCCACCCCCCACCCCCACAGGCGACGCCCTGCTGGATGCAGGGGAGTCCATGAAGTGCCTGGCAGAGGTGAAGGACTCCTTGGACATAGAGGTCAAGCAGAACTTCATCGATCCCCTGCAGAACCTGTGCGACAAAGACCTGAAGGAGATCCAGGTATGCCTTGATGCCCTGTCCCTCATGCCCACCCCCTATAGCCCTCAGGGGTCCCACATGGCTCCCTCACTCAGTGAGCCTCTTCCCATCCTGGGCCCCTCTCGGCTCACCTCCGTGCATACTTGCTGTGAGCAGGGCTGCAGGGCATTGGGGGCCCTGCAATGTGACCCTCGCCCTGCCCCCAGCACCACTTGAAGAAGCTAGAGGGCCGCCGCCTGGACTTTGACTATAAGAAGAAGCGGCAGGGCAAGATCCCCGATGAGGAGCTGCGCCAGGCCCTGGAGAAGTTCGAAGAGTCCAAGGAGGTGGCTGAGACCAGCATGCACAACCTCCTGGAGACTGATGTACGTCCATGGGCCCAGGGACTACCCTTGCTTGGGAAACCCCTGAAACCAATGCCAGCATCCAAGGGCTCAGTGCCGGTTTAGGAGGTGAAGGAAATGAAGGGGGAGCAAGGAGCAGAGGTGGGCAGCAACTGGCACCCTGAGGCTTTCGGTGTTTTGGGCCCTTCACCCTTCTCCAGCTGCAGCTCTAAGGTCAGCCGGGCCCCAGTGCCTGGAGCAGTCTGGGAAGGCTCCTTGCAGGAAGTGGCCTGGAGATGAGAGTTAGAGGACAGCCCCCTCTTCAGCTCTGGCTGGTTGCTTGCAGATTGAGCAGGTGAGCCAGCTCTCTGCCCTGGTGGATGCCCAGCTGGAATACCACCGGCAGGCCGTGCAGATCCTGGACGAGCTGGCCAGCAAGCTTAAGCGAAGGTGAGCCCCTTCCCTTCTGTGCTGGCCAGGAAAGGCCCAGTGGCTGTGGGGTCCTGGGCTGGCAGCTGGCTTTTCATAATCTCTGGGCTGTGGGGATCCCACAAGGGAGTAGGACCTCCTCGGGCTTGTCCTGTCCCGAAGGAGAGGGTGGAGTGGCCGTGGGACAGGAGACAACCTGAGGGGGATGGGAGGCAGGTTACCCAGGGCAGACCCTAGGAGCCCTTCCTCCACTGCCAGTCTCCTTCGTTGGCAGTGGTTCCCTGGTGGGGCCACTTGGCAACCTGAAAAATGCCCTAGTCTGGGGATCTGGCCCAGGGGGTCCCCCAGGATTCCCCTGTGTGTTGTGTCCATCTCACAGCCTCCCCAGGGTCCCACTGCTCATGTGGCAGCAGCAAAAACAGGGGGGGGTGGGGAGGGGCGGTGTTGTTCTCTGGCCTTGACACCCTGGCTCATGATGCAGGCTCTGTGTCTGCTCACACCTCCGCCTTCACTTGCAGGATGCGGGAAGCCTCTTCGCGCCCCAAGCGTGAATACAAGCCCAAGCCCCGGGAGAGCTTTGACCTTGGAGAGCCTGAGCAGTCCAACAGCACCTGCATCACACAACGCAGTCCCGCAGGAACACAGCAACACAGCAACACAGTCATGAACGAAACCTCTCGACCTGCTCCCCTCACCCGGGGTTGGGGGGTGCCGAGTCTGACCAGGAGGCCTCCCAGGTCCTCAGAGGTCGATCCTCTCAGAGAGCTTTGATTGGAGAGCCTGAGCAGTCCAACGGGGGCTTCCCGGCCCCCAAGATCTCAGGTAAGGCTCTGGAGGGGCCGTGCTTTCCCAGGGCCTCAGAGACCGGCCCCTTGTGGGGCAGCCCCAGCTTGCTGCCCCATCCCAGCCCTCTGCAAAAGGGGCCCGAGATGGGACCAGGCCCCACCTCAGCACTCTCAGCCCACCTGTGTGCTTTGTTTGCAAGCAGCTTCATCATCTTTCCGATCTTCCGACAAGCCCATCCGGACCCCCAGCAGGAGCATGCGTGAGTGTCCCCGCCTCGGTTTATAACAGTGCCTTCCAGTCTATCCTGCGAGGGTCTCTCTGCCTCCCCCGATCTGGTAGAAGCGCACACCTGTTGGGGTTTCTTCAGACCCGCAAGCAGGGAAGGAGCCGAGTTCTTGCCTCTGTGGCCTCAGCCTTCCCGTGGGAAACAGGCTGCTGTGAGCGTCCAGGGCACCCTGAGGGCGGTGGGCTCTGGGCATCCTAATGCCACTGTGCGCCCCCAGCTCCTCCCAGGAGCATTGTGGTAACCACTCACAGAACCCTTTCCATCCTTTGTGTGTCACTTGCTCCTTATTCCCAACAACCCCGGGGAGCCAGAGGAAGAGCGGCTCTCCTTAGGGGAAACTGAGGCACAGCGAGGCAGCAGGTGGGGTTTGAGCTGGACGCCCAGACCTTACACCCATACCCTGCCCACCCCCAGCGCCGCTGGACCAGCCAAGCTGCAAGGCACTCTATGACTTTGAGCCCGAGAACGACCAGGGGCCCAGTCCCCTAAGGACAGGCCCTGTCCTCAGCTGCAGGGTGCTGAGCCCTACACACCCATGCGCACCCTACCCCTGACCAAGCACATGGACCATTTCTGGCACAAGCTGCCACCACCAGCTACAGACACAGACACAGACACACCATACACGGGACCATGGGAGCCCCCAGCTTCCTCTCTGCTGAAGGTCAAGCACAAAGGCTTTGATGAGTGAATGTTGCCAGACCCCTGGCTGCTCGGGAGGGTCACAGGGCCTCCCCCATCCCAAGCTGGCTGCCCTCCCCCTGTTGACAGTATCCCCAGCTGTCTCCTCCAGACCAAGGTAGGCAGCTGCTCAGACCAGCAGGGCCCTGGCCCTGCATCCGCTTCGCCTCTTGTCTAATCTGAAATCGGCCTCGGGGGACCTCGGGCCTGGTTCACATTCCCTTCCCCAGTGACCCTGCACAGCCCCCATGACACCAGGCTCTGCTCGTCCCCAAGGCCCCCCCACCATCATGAGTGGGTGAGACACAGGCATCCGGACCAAGACAAGCAGCATAGCCTTGGTCAGTCTAGGGCAGAAAAAAATTTAATCCTGATTTTTTTTTTTTTTAAGAAGTATTAAACGTCTCTTTCTACAGTCTCTTGCCTGGTTGTGGTGTGGGGCAGGCCTTCTCTTCACCGGGACATCCACAGCCCTCCCAAGGGGTCTCTGGTCAGGACAGGGCCTACACAGCTGCCCCCTACCCACTCTTGGAGTGGGCACCGGCCCCATAGCAAGCCCAGGAAGGGTGGTTGTCATTCACCCTTCAGTGGCATGGGAGGTATGTCCCCAAGACTCCCCTCCCCACAGCCCCAGGAAGGGACAGGCTGGGGTTGGGTCCAGCACTGTCCACACACTCGGCTGCATGAGTGCTCCCCTGCCAGACAGCAGCCTGTGCCCAGCAGCAAGTGCTAGGAGGCCCCCCTCAGGGTGAGACACAGGCCTGGCTGTTTGCTTCTCTCCTTTATTCTGTGAGCACCTGCATCAAACAACGCAGTCCCACAGGAACACAGCAACACAGTCGCGAATGAAATCTCTCGACCTGCTCCCCTCACCCGGGGTTGGGGGGTGCCGAGTCTGACCAGGAGGCCTCCCAGGTCCTCCGAGGTCGATCCTCTCAGTTCCCTTGCTTAAGGACGCTGTACACCTGCTCCAGCACATGGCACAGGCCCTGGTCCTTGGGCATCCTGCTGGCCAGGGAGATCTGAAACAAGCAGGCCTGGCGCCTCAGGACTATGTCCGGCAGGCCTGGCCTGGCCTCGCCCCCAAGGCCCAAGCGCTGCCACATGGCAGAGGGGCTCGCCTACCCACGGTACACAGTGGTATCCCTAAAGCAATGCTTTCTTTTTAACAAAAGGGATGTTGAGTAACAAGACCCAGCTGACTAATGTTTGGGGTGGGGGGGTCATCTGCACTTTACAAATCCTGCTGTCACTCCAGCCTGGATCCCACTCGCCACATGCTGAGAGCCACCCAGCAGCCCCGTGCCTGGCTAGGAGGTGACCAGGAACAACTTTAAGCCCTGGTTACTGTTTTCTTTAAAAGTCTGAACAGCTGGCCTGTGTGCTCAATGGTTAGAACATCAGCCTGGGCACCAAAGGGTCTCGGGTTCAATTTCTGGTCAAAGGCAGGTGCCTGGGTTGCAGGTTTGATCCATGGCCCCAGGTTGGGGTGCGTGTGGGAGGCAACCAACCGATGTGTCTCTTTCACATCCATGTTTCTCTCCACCCCCTCCCTTCCACTAAAAATCAATGGGAAAAATATCCTCAGGTGAGGATTAGCAAAAAATAAAAGTTTGAACAAAACAAGCAAAAGTGTGAAACTTTCTCTATGCAAAGCAGAGTTGAGAATATCTAAGGATGACTTTCAAACAGGAAATAAATCAGACACACACCGGAGGCCAATAAATGCCTAATTTAAATGTCCCACTACCTGGGGAGCCAGTGTGCACGTTCACAACACCAGCAGCTCTTAAGACTCTAAACCAGATCAGAACCCTGCACACCCTCTGTGAGTGGACGCAGAGGGAAGTAGGGCCCAGCGCAGCTTCAGCGGGGCTGTCCCAGGGTCTGGGAGTCTACAGGACTTTAACGTTTCATCTCCACTTTGATGGTGATTCCCACCCCCACCCTCGTGATAAAACAAGGCTTTTTGGCACTGTTCATTTCCAGCTGGAATACTTTTGTAGAGAACAAGTTAGGGAATCCCTTTCTCAAGCTGCCCATGGGTGTATTCTTGGGTGCTCCCCAAGAGCTGTCTTTCTACAGGAGGGGTTCACATGGGACTTGGGGTAAGAAGTCTTACCTTGAGCTTGTCAAGGTAGGTGTGCTCCTGGTTCCAGGGCTCCTGGAACCTCACCAGGTCCGGGGCGCCCTTGTAGAACTCCACCAGCAGCATCTACAGGACAGGGGGTGGTTGGGACCCCTCGCTCCCGCCTCCCACGCCAGGCACTGGGATCCAGCAGTGAGCAGGACGGCGCTGCCGCTACCTGTCACCTATCGTGAAGGCTTCCAGGCTAATGCAACCAGCAGACAACACCGCTCACCAAGGAAGTCCACGGAGGAGCCCACCCAGTAGACAGGAGGGAGCTCAGGAAGAGGGAACTGCCCGAGAGGCTGAGGGAGGCACGCCGAACGTGGTATCACACAGGCCTGACAGCCCCCTGCTTTAGCCTCACTAATACCCTGAAACCACAGGTGTCATGAACTAGCTCCGTTTTTTAAATGCCTGTTGAGCCACAGGCATAAACCATCCTGCTGACACCTGGAGTCCTCCACGTGTCTCCCCTTGGGGAGGAGCGGCAGGTGCAGAGGCCCGAGATGGGAGCATCCCTGGTGTGTCCAGAACAACTCGGAGGCCTGGGGGGTGAGGGAGGTGCTGCAAGGACCTGGGACTGCGTGCTAAGAGACACCGGTGGTTATCTCCAGAAGAGGGACCTGACCAGGGCCCTGGTGGCACATTCAGCCACGGCTGCCTGAGTCAGACCTTGTCCTGTAGGCCCAGCTAGGCCCTTTCAGACCCGGCCCGCCCCATGAGGAGGGCTGCACCCACCTCACCTGGGAGTGAGCTCACCATCTCATGGAGGATGTCATTTGTCAGGAAGCTGTCCTGGACGTAAGCCATCTCCACGTCCATGGGGATACCGTAGTCACTAGGCCTTTGCTGGCAGGGACACCGGCCAGTCACCACCAGCCGCCCCAAGCCTCCCACCCCATGACACATCCAGCATGTTGACCCTTGGCCTCCCCCAGGAGCTCCACCTACCTCAGGGGGTGGCATCACCCAGAACGGGGAGATCTTGGACTCTGGGCCCTGGTTGCCAGAGTAGTAAGGGGCTATGGGAAGAGAGTGAGAGCGGGGCTGGGCCTGGGGGGCTCATGGTCCAGGAATCACACACACACACCTACCCCAGGGGGCACTTACAGCAGAGCAGGGCGAGGCAGGGCTGGAAGCCATTGCTGGAGCCCTGCAGCCGCAGCTGGTAGTCCATCTGCGTGTCGATGTCCTGCAGCGATGGCAGCGCCGGGCTGTGTGGGTGGCTGTGGTACCAGCCCACCAAGGACAGGCCCCGCAGAAGCAGGCTCTGATAGATCTGGGGACAGAGGCAGGGCTGGAGAGGGCGGGGAGCTGGGCCCCTACCAGCCTTGGTGTGCTCCTGACTCCCATCCAGCTCCACGTGAGAGCAGCACATAATGAGTATCTGCTGTGTACCAGGACTGCGCCCGCGCCCACCCTAACAAGTCCGGTTGGGGGATGGTCAACAAGAACATAAAAAAGATGCACCTGTCATGAAACAAAGGCGAAAAGTGATTTTCCCTGCTGTGTCCCAACTCCTGCAACAACGCCTGCCACACAGTAGATGCTCAATAAACAGTTAAGGAGGTGGATATGCATGCATTTGAGCAGGCACAGGCATTCCTGAATGCCTGCAGCAAGTGGAGGCAAGCAGGGGCAGAAAGAGAACGGTTCTCGCTGAATCAACATCCATTCACTTATCCCTGAGAGACACAAGAAGGTGGGTGTAGAGCGCTGAGCACGGAGCCAGGTGCATACTAAGACCCATTAGGAAAACATCAAGAATGGCAGCCTGATGGGGGTGGTTCAGTGGTTGAGCATCGACCTATGAACCAGGAGGTCATGGTTCCATGTGTCCTGACCTGGTTGCTGGCTTGATTCCCAGTGGAGGTTTGCAGGAGGCAGCCAATCAATGATTCTCATCATTGATGTTTCTATCTCTCTCTCTCTTTCCATCTCTCTAGCTCTTCCTCTCTGAAATAAATAAAAATATATTTATAAATAAATAAAATGGCAGTTAAGCCCTGCTGGTTTGGTTCAGTGGTTAGAGTGTCCGCCCATGGACCAAAGGGTCTCAGGTTCGATTCCCAATCAAGGGCACATAGGTTAAGGCAGTGGTTCTCAACCTTGGCTGCACATTAGAATCACCTGCGAATCTTTTTAAAATCCTGATTTCTGGTTTTAAAAAAATAAATAAATAAAAATAAAATAAAATCCTGATTTCTGGGCCTCATGAGGTACACGTACCTCCATTGGAAGGCAACCAATCGGTGTGTCTCTCTCACATCGGTGTTTCTCTCTCTTTCTCTCTTCCCCCCTCCTCCCTCTTCCACTCTCTCTAGAAATCAATGAAAAAAATATTGAGTGAGGATTAAAAAAACAAACAAATATTAAAATGTATCCAGCCCTTACTAGGTGTCAGCTGGGGCAAGGGCTCACACATGCTCATTTGCACATTTTTTGAGCACTGACTTTGCCAGCTGCAAGAACAGCTGTGTGCACCCATCCCACCTCAGAATGCCCCATCCAGTGTGTCCCCTCACCTCCTCTTCAATAGTGGCCCCGGTATCCACGTCCCCCAACCGGCTGCGACAGGGAAAGGCTCTCAGCACCGTGAGCACTGCACAGAGTGGGGAGAGAAGGCGTGAATATTGGCCCGGCCCCCAATATCCCCCTGCCCACTAGGCCCCAATTACCCACTCTGGCTGTTGATGTCCCAGCGGCCCCCCAGGTACCCCACAACCTCGCTGCGAGTTAGGT